CCCCTCTTTATATAAACACTGTCTCAACAGATATATATATATATATATATATATATATATATATATATATTTAAGTTATTGGTATTTTATTTATCTACAGCTATGCAAGAACCAAGTGCATTATTTATTTTAGATAATAACTCCTACTGTCAAGGCCTACTTTTGAGCCTTGGCCTGCTTGACATAAAAGTTCACACTGGGGCTGGAGAGATGGCTCAGTGGTTAAGGACATTGACTGCTCTTTTAGAGGACCTCAGTTCAATTCTCAGCACCCACATGGCAGCTCACAACTGTCTGTAACTCTAGGATCCAATACCCTCACATGGACATACATACAGCCAAAACATCAATAAAATAACAACAACAACAACAAATCTCACACTGCCTGAGAACACAGTTACCATTAAACTGATGAAGGTTTTGTTGGGCAAATGCCTGGGTTATCCAGGATTTGCCCATCATGCCTCAAGGGCCCTCTTGGCAAACTGCCTTCCTCCTGGCCTCATCTTTCCTGTGTTCTCTCAAGTTGGTCATTTGATGGATGGTTAGTTTGCATCAGCTGTTCCTCTCTCTGAAAGACCATGTGATGTGCAGACCTCTGAACCATGTTTTCTTTTCTTCTTTTCCTCAGTTTTATTATTTCTCAGTTAGTACACTCACTTCTTTTTCTATTCTCTCTCTTCCTGGCTTTTGTGTCTGTTTCCTTCCTGATACCTAGAAAACCTATTGTATAAACATTTCCTACTGTCTCCTTTTATGAGACAGAGCTCCGGCATCTGCCATTCTGTTTCTGAGTAATTTGAAAGGAAATCATGATTGAAAGCAAGGAGAGGGCCGATGGTAGACTGCCACTGGGCAACAATTACCATGTTACTCTCTGAAATGCTAGAGATGCTTGCGATGTCCAGAGTCAGTGCTATCCGAACTGGGTCACCTGAGAATGAAGAAAAACCAGAGATACTTACATAGAAACACAAACACAAGTCCTCCTTCCAACCAGCCATTTCCACCCCTGCCCTACTTCGTGTGTTGGAAACAAAACTATTAAAAATTATAAAAGCAATATTCATGTATTAGAAATATTTAAATAATCTGAACTATAAAAATATGAAAATTAATTTTATCTTCCCAGGAGCAACTATTCAGTATGAAAAATATACACAAATACACAGGGACATCATGATTCATAAGAGAGGCCACACAATTATTAATTAATGGGTATTTAAAATATTTTAAGATTAATTTACTTATTTTGGGGAGAGAGGGGAGGTGCCACACACTCTGGGAGTTGGTGCTCACCTCTGCTTTTAAGGCAGGGTCTCTCATTATTTTGCTGATGCACAGCAAATCCAAGGCTATCTGGTCTGAGAGTTCCTGAACAGCTCATCCATCTCCACCTCCCACCTTGCCATAGGAATGCTAGGGGACAGAACTCAGGTAGTCAGACTGTGCGGCAAGCACTTTCACATGCTGAGCCATCCTCCTGGCCCATTAATGTGTATTTTAAAGAGGCTAGTGATAAAGTATCTGTTCCTTCTTACATGGAAGACTGTTTTCCCTGCAGTGCCTGCCTGCAGGGGGCTAATTGTGTAGAGAGGGACAGAGATTTGCTCATGTGATTGTACACAAATGACTTGGAAATTTACCAAAGATGGCACCGAAGACTGATGACAGCTAAGCTGCTGACTCCAGACACTTTGTTCCTTTACTTTTTGGAACCCTAAAGTTTTAGAATGCCAGAAACGAGTCACCATGGTTGATCTTATGCACAGACTTTGGTAAGCTTCAGCCCTGGAGATTAGGGACACTAAAAGACTCCACTGAGAATCATGTTTTGTTCTGAAGACTGGAGTGTAGGGGCCATTTTCCAGGCCAGTTCCAGGCCTCAGGAGTGTGAAACCTGTGAATTCAGATCTCAGCTCTGAACTCTCCTAGCTCTGCCATCAGGGATAAGTTCCTGTATCTTCTACAGCTGTCTTTTCCCTTCTAGAGTTTTTTTTCACTTGCAAAGCAGTGGCGGAAGTTCAATGACATTAGCGGTGTGACAGTGTTTTAGCCAGTGACAGCCAAAGGGAATATATGCGAAGAGCCCACATATTTTTTCCTCTAAGAATCTCAGAACTGGCTCCCTGCACACAGCTTCTAGAAACAGACCTGCCATGCTGTGACATCAGTAGTGTCCCCTGCTCTTTCTCACTCTCTTCTGTAATCCTAGCTAATGTTGGGGAAGGGACAACTTTGCTCACCAAGTGAATAGATAAAGCATGTCCCACTTGAATTAAATGGCTGAGATGGCCTCAAGGGACTGTGGCAATGAACCAGGAAGAGAGGAGGTGGGATTCTAAAGAAACTGGAAAAATACCTAATCATCTAATTGGTCAAAGCAACCTAGTAACTAAAGGGTTAGTAATCCAGGAAAACCAAGCTATGGAATGTAAGCAGGAATTTGGAAATGGAGTTTTAGAGACAATGAAATTGAAAGGTAAGAGTTAATGGTTAGTGAGAAATCTTTGAGGGCAGAGTGGAAGGATGCAGTACTAGGTGGCTTTCTGCCACTCAGAGCAGCAACGCACAGCATTGAGAAGAGGCTGGAGTCAGAGAGAAATGGTTGCATGTGATATAGCAATGTGACCTCAAGCACATTGTCAAATCTCTTTGTGCTGCTTTCTCCCATGTTAAATGGTCTGTAACCTGCTGTTACAATTCCCAATGTCTGTCCCCTCCCAAATTCATGAGGAAACTGAATTGATGTAACAGGCTTAAGAGGTGATTAGACCATGAGGATTCCAGCTCCATGAGTGGGGTTGGTGCTATTAGGAAAGGGCAAGTTCAGCCCTCCCTTGTCTTCCTCAACCCTCCCCCCCTTCCATGTGATGACATGGCAATAGGGCCATTGCAAAATGCCAGTGTTTAAATACTGAACTATAAGCCAATGAGTTTGGGCTTGCTATAAATTACCCAGGTCCAGGCATTATGTTATAGCTGCACTAAACAGGCTAAGACAAGCACAGAGGACTGAGTGGGAGAGCATGGAAAATGGTGGGTCCCTTTAGTCTACCTCTCTGGAGAGTGCAGAGTTGAAAGCACACAGGAGCTTTAGTCCCACCATGTCTTTTGCTTAGTTTCCCCCTATATAGTATAGTCCAGTCACACTTGGCTGTTTTATGCACCAGAGCTTGCTTTCATCCCCTGAAATTATACAAGTAAGCAGTGCCACCAGAGGGCACCTTTCTCCTAGGAAAAAGTAAATGTCCTGGGCAGTGTGCGTAGTGCCCACTTGAAAACCTTGCTTTACCAAGCTTAGTCCCTGAAAAATACTATAGAGGTTTTTGTCTTTCAAGGACCTTGGTGGCCAAGAAGCTGGTGCACACATGTGACAGGAAGCAAGGTCACATCCATTGACTCATTGGGTGCCCAGCAGGACAAGTTCCTTTAGGAGACAGAGTGCACAAAGTCCCCTGGCCTGGTGCTGTGCTTCCTCTTCTTTTATGTGAGGTGGAACTGGGCCTCACACTCCCTTCAGCCCACCCTAGGTGCTCTGTTCTCAGAACAACCTCCCTGGTCAGCATGCCTGCTTCTGGTTGGCCTGTCATTGTGCAAACTTGAAGAGTGATGTACTGACTTAGTTGTTTGAGGTTTGGGAGGTAAGAGAAATTGATCTAATTATGCTCTTTAGACTCATGTGCTTATTGCTAGTGTGTAGTAAAGCCTGGGAACCCAGAGCATGTGGTGGCTTACTAGGTCCTCAACATAAAGAACAGATCCTAACTGGGACCAGACGTTGCCCAGATCTCCAACTGAGCCAGGGAGATTGCTTGAGGGTCCCAGTGTCTGCACTCAGGACTGCACTCAGCATCATGGCTGTCAGCCACCCAGGGATGTTAGCCACCCAGAAACCTGTGCATAAACAGCACACAAGTCAGGGGTGATCCAGGATGCCCAGAGGCAGAGGCCTCCTCTGCTGGGCAGCTTTGCTCCAGAACTCCCTAGTGGCCTTCTGTAATAAATTTCCATCCGTACTTCTGTCCAAGATACCTCTGTCTAGACTTCCTTGCCTTTCTTTTCTCACCTTGTGGCCTGAGGGCCCTTCCAGCTTCTCTCTCCATTCTCACTCTTTACAGTCCAAGGAATACCTTGAAGAGGCAAAGGCTCCCCCGACCCCGCATCTGACCACCAACGGACCTGAACTTACATACTGTCCTAGATCTGACTAGAGACTGTCACCATCAGAAGAGAGAAACAGGAGGAACAGGGACATAAAGCTAGGTACAGTATAACAAGAAATGTGGTGATTTTGGGGGTGTGTTCAAAAGAAGGGGTGGGCTGTGGAGGAATCAGGGAGAGCCTTTCAGAGGAGGGCAGCCTTCCTCCGAGACATGATGGAAAATTATGTTCCTAGAGAGGCAAGTTGGAGGAGTAACTCAAGGGAGATGAGCAGCCTCTGCGTTGGCACAGAAGCCAGAGGCTAAGGGTGCTGGTGGTAACTTTGTGGAACTTGTGGAAAGATGAGAATGACAGGTAGACAGAGGCTGGGCTGAGAGGGTCTGGAATGCCTGGACCTCAGGCTAGGCTGTTGGATCACGTGCCTGTGTTCTGAGCAGGCAAATGACCCAGGAGGTTATTCAAGTGGAAACCAGGGGTGACCATTGTAGGTGGCAGGCAACAGGCAGGAAAGCCAGATGGCCCTCCGGCCCCCGCCACAGTGGTGGAAAGAGCACCTTCATCTTTCAAGTGGGGAGGTAGAGTGCTTTCTTTAAGGTAGCACGAAAAATCACCGACATGTGTTCTTATCCATCCTTCCTAATTCCTAAAACAGCTGCCCATCAGGGGGTGGAGTCAGCAAAGCCTCCTGAAGCCCTCAGCTACATTTTGTCTCTGAGCCGGTCCTTTTGAACTGATGTTTTTTTTATCACAAAGGATAACCTACCACCAAAATTGGGCCTGAGAAATTTGTTATATCCTGCAGTGAGGTTCTCAAAGCCAGGCAAGGAAAGCTTGTCGCTTCTGCTGACCTCCACATTGAACTGGTTTCCCTGGATGCATGTCCTGGAAAGGAGAATTGCTTTTGTTGCTATGTTGTTCAAATACTGATTAACACAGATAGACATGAACTTGACTGACACTCCCCCATCACCACTGTGTGTGCGCGCGCGCGCACACACACACACACACACACACACACACACTGGCTTTCCTAAGTAGAAATCTTTTACTTTCTAGCCAGTGAGCATTTCCATTTTTCTTACCCACTTGCTATAGATGAAACTGTGTGATAATTTGGCAGCCCTCCAAGTATCTTTTCTTTTGATTGATTGATTGATTGATTGATTGTGTGTGTGTGTGTGTGTGTGTGTGTTGTATGAGTGTATGCACAGGCATGTGTACCTGCACATGTACATCAGATGTCTTCCTCTATTTCTCTCTTTCTATCCCTTTGAGGCAGGGTCTCTCCTTGAACCTGGGGCTCAAGTTTTCTTGGCTACGCTGAAGAAGAAACCCTCAGAGATCCTCTTATCTCCTCCCCAGTTGGCAGCTCCAAAATTTACTGGCATTTGTGGGAATCTGGACTCTGATTACACAGTAAGCATTCTTTTTTTTTTTTTTTCTTTTTGGTTTTCCAAGACAGGGTTTCTCTGTGTAGCTTTGGAGCCTATCCTGGCAGTTGCTCTGGAGACCAGGCTGGCCTCGAACTCACAGAGATCTGCCTGCCTCTGCCTCCCGAGTGCTGGGATTAAAGGCGTGCACCACCAACTCCCGACACCACAGTAAGCATTCTTAGCCGTTCTCTCCAACTTCCTTTTCACCAAGTGTCTTACCGAAAACACAAGTCCATCTATCTGAGGCCATTTTAGAAACTTGTGTTCTCTAAAACAGAATGAACCACAGGAATTTTATTGTTCTGGTGTTTCAGGGAAATGAAGGGACTAAGTTTCGGCTTGCTGTAAGTTAAATGGAAAATGCTGCAATCCCTTCCATCATGGCCATACCAGAGCAGTTCTCATTGGGCCACTCTGGGGTAGCACCACTCACCTTTGAGTGAGGAGACTCAGACACACAAAGGCCAGGTAGATGTGGTGGCTCATGTTGAAGAAGCTATTCACACAGAGAAGGAGATTGAAGGAGGAATCACCTGGGGAGACAGATGGAGAAGGTGAGGGTGACAGTCCAAAGGTTCACCTACTCCAGCCCTGCTGTCTTCATGGGTCTTCATGAAGTCCTAACATGGGTCCTAACATGCCTGGGGAGCAACATCTTTGTACATCTGTTCATATAGCACCTGCTCCTTTGCAAATCATCCAGGCACACTGTCATTTGGGAGCTAATTGTTTTTTTTCAAGACAGGGTTTCTCTGTAGCCTTGGAGCCTGCCCTGGAACTCTGTAGACCACACTGGCCTTGAACTCACAGAGATTCACCAGCCTCTGCCTCCCAAGTGTCAGGGGAAAGGCATGTGCCACCAGCACCTAGCCTTGGGAGCTAAGTTTTTTGTTTTTGTTTTTGTTTTGTTTTTTTGAGACAGGGTTTTTCTGTGGCTTTGGAGGCTGTCCTGGAACTAGCTCTTGTAGACCAGGCTGGCCTCAAACTCATAGAGATCCACCTGCCTCTGCCTCCCGAGTGCTGGGATTAAAAACATAAGCCAACACTGCCTGGCTCCTTTTCTTATTCTTTTTTAAATTTAAATTAAAAACAATCTTATTTTACATACCAATCCCAGTTCCTTCTCCCTCCCATCCTCCCATGCCCCCCACTAACCCTCCATCCCATCCTTTATCCACTCCCCAGGGAGGGTGAGGCCTCCCATTGGGGGATCATCAAAGTCTGTCACATCATTTGGGGCAGGACCTCGGCTCTCCCCCATGTATCTAGGCTGAGAGAGCATCCCTCCATAGGGAATGGAGGAAGCTAATATTTTAAACCCACCCCAGATATAGGAGGAGTCCTTGTTTATACAGTGGTTTATCAGAGCTAGCACCCATAGCCAGTCTGGGGTATACAATTGTGTGTATATTTGAGGAGCCCCAGACTGTTCTTACTATGTTCTTGTCCTCATACCTCTAGCTCTACATTCATGCTGACCAAACTGGACATTGTCCTATTTAGTTCAAGGTCCAGGCCTTTGAGGCGGGCTGTGTTCTTACCTAATCTTCCCCAGGGCCTATCCCTGTCTTATAACGAGGAAACAGGTTTGTGCAAAAGTACACAATACCTGTGAATGCCAGAGGTGAGTTTGAATCTGGAGCTGGCTGCCTCATGCCTTTCCTCCAGGACCAGCAACAGCTTATGCTTTCTTTGGCCTGAAGTTGCTCATCATCCTTATTACCTCCCACACCCAATTACAGAGCTCTGAAGCCATTTAGCTTCTGTGTGCCAATGTGCCAAGAGGACTATTGACTAGCATGCACCAGAGGACTGGCTTCCTTGGGTGTGTGAGCCACAGTCAGACTTCTCTCAGAGAGTAGGGGCAGCTAGCACAGCAGCCTTCGGACTTGCTGTGCTGGTGACAGGGCAGGGTGGTGGCCTCAAGTTCAGGCCTGTTTCCAGGTAGCACACTTTGGGCACCTACTTCTCCGTGATAACCCTGGAGAGTCATCCCACTTTCTAGACCTAAGCAATCTAGAGCTGTGGGTCAGATTCAATCATTTATTGATTAAATAATATGCTGCTTACAAAGCCAATATCTGCTTATTAGAGAAGTGGAAATAGATAGAAGTTCACTAAGTCAGAAGTGTATATTATAGCATATGCCAGTGCAGATTTATAGTTTTATGAGATTTATTTTTGTCTTATGTGTAGGGGTGTTTTGCCTGCACGTATGTCTGTGTACCATGGGCATATAGTGCCCGTGGAGGCCAGAAGAAGGCATAGAGTCATCTTGGAATGGAGTTACAGATGGCTGTTAGCTGCATGTGGGTGTTGGAAATATAACCCGGGTCCATTGGAAGAGCAGTCAGTGCTCTTAGCCACTGAACCATTGCCTCAGCTGCAGTGTAGATTTATAGGTGGGAAAAGACATGTCCCTCTGGTGCAGGATGTAATACTATAATCCTAAAACTGCTTTAAAAAAAACAAAGTTGATTTAAAAAGACCTATCTCATAAAAGACCAAAAAACCAAAAAAACCCGAAGTGTTTAGTCCCTCTGTTTAGTCTCCTTGTTAGCCTCATACCTTAGATGTTTTCATTGTTAATTGTTTTTATCCCCACACCTATATTTACAAATATACACATTTTTTCATAAAAAATTAAAAAGGAAAAGTGGGGTGATTTTGTCCTTTTGTTATTGTTTTTTCCCTTGTGAGTGTAATAGCAGCTATCCATTGACCACTTCACACTCATTTGCCTGAGCTAACTAGCACCTCTACAGTCTTCACAGGTCTTTGAAGTAATTAAGACTATTCTTATTTACAAAGGAGAGAGCTGAGGCTTTGAGAGGATGTATCAACCCCAGAGTGACACAGCAAGTAAGGTTGAGCTTGAATGCAAGTAACTACCCCAAGTCCTTCCCTTAACCACAGCAAAACAAAAAGTGCTCTTCCCTATGTCATTCACACCTTGCCACTTCAGCTTTTGTGACTTCGCCTCCCCAGCCCGTGTAAGACACAAGGTAGCTCATGCTGTGAATGTACAAACATCTGCACTCCATGTGTCCTTCCTGTGAATACCAAGTGCTGTTATAAAGTCAGCACTGACTGTCTTGGCATATAAGTTCTACTATCCTGTTCCTTTAGTCAGTGGAATGAAAGAGGCTGTGGGCAGGGGCTCTAAAGGCTGATAAAGAAATGGAGGCTTGCTTATGGCCATTGGAACCCCTCACTCATCAAAAACACCAGCTATAAAACCAGTGTCATTGGGCTAGAGAGATGGCTCAGAGGTTAAGAGCACTGACTGCTGTCCCAGAGGTCCTGAGTTCAATTCCCAGCAACCACATGGTGGCTCACAACCATCTATTATAAGATCTGGTGCCCTCTTCTGGTGTGCAGACATACATGGAAGCAGAATGTTGTATATATAATAAATAAATAAAATCTTTTAAAAAACAATGTCATTAAGTTTCTGTGACTATATTCATACTTTCTTTCCTTAGTGTTTCTCCTTGGTCACACTATTCCTCTCCATGCCCCTAGCATCAAATTTAAGAGAGTCCCAGGGAATGGCTTTCACACCCCTCAACTCTCTCTCTCTCTCTCTCTCTCTCTCTCTCTCTCTCTCTCTCTCTCCCTCTCTAACATTTTAAAGGTTGAATGAGCTCCTCTTGTAAGCCAAACACATGACCAGCAAAGGCCCTGCTTGGTGGGGACAGAGGTGTGCAAGCAGAAACAGTGCTCCGTTGGAGAGGTGCAAGCCATAAGTCACATGTCTGTCACTACCCCACATCAGGAGCTCAGGCAGCAGGATGTTTGATGTAACAAGAAAGTTAGCCTCCAACTTTCCTGCCATTCCATCACGGGGATGGCGGTACAGGGTGAGGGTGGGAATTGCAGATGTTCATTTGATTCTGGCAGACTGTGATGTATTAGCCAGCTGGACTTTGGAGGCTTCGGTCTCTGGAAGCTGATAAAGAAATGGAGGCTTGTCCATGGCTGTTGGAAACCACTCAGACTCAGCCTTTTCCCTGAGCCCTTAGTATCTATAGGTTTTTCCTAGTGTGACCTGAAGTGGCCCTGTTCTTATTTAGGGAGATTCTTCATCTTCTTTTTTTTCCCACCTTCTATAAGAAACTGCTTTTGATTAAGTTCATCTGGGAACCATTTAATCTTTATCTTAAAGCTTTCTTTGAAATAGAGATCTCCTGGTGACCATCATATATTAGGAAGACAATATTTGCAGCATGGGCCTCTGAATCTCCTCTGAGGAATCCCAGGCTCTTGAATGTGGCTGTATTCTGTCTGCTGGCTCTGCTAGGGCATGCCTCATTGTAAAATAGAAGAGCAGTGAGACACCACACATCACCCAGTCACATCTAGTTCAAGAGAGGAATCTCAGATTTGTGATGGAATTTGGCTTAGGTCACACTGCAATTAAGTGGCCACTGTATGAACCAGCATTTCTCAAGTCCTTGATCTTTACCAAGGTCCTATCTGGCACCACGTTACTATCATGGTTTTCTTGGGGAGGGCCCACACCACGAACAACTTTCCTCACTTTGCACTGAAAGAACTGAGCACAAGAAAACAGTAGTGAGTAGGAAGGAGGCTTGGGTGTGACACACTTGGGCACTCTGTGATGAAGAAAGTCCCTAGTTCATCAGACTGAAAGGAGTCACATGCGACTCTGCTCCTTATGTCAGACTCACTTTGGGGATAAGTGCTGAAAGTTCAGTGGGGTCCACGAGCCCATGTAGCTGGTGAGCCTATCTTCAAGTTACTCTATTTGTCTACTTGTCTTGGACGAGGCTCAGGCCTCCCTCTTGGATACAGACATTAGAACCGCACTTAGAGGTGATCATAGACCACTAGAGGATACCTGGAGATTCTGAGCAGGGCCCCCTCTAGCAGTTGCACCCAAGAAGTGGGTGGGAGTTTCTTGAGTTGGGGCAGCCTATGCACTCTTGCACTAGCTGGACTTCTCTGGCTGAAATCTCAACTCTATTTGTAGAGGAGAGTCTGGGCTTTGGAGTTAGATGAAAGTTAGTCATAGTTAATCTCTGGGCCTCAGTTTTCCCACCTGACAAAGAGGAACAAACACAAACAAAAAACACTACTTTCTATGTTCTGACTTCTGTTGGAGATTTGGTAATCTCACTAGGATGAAAACAGTGCCAGACTGAAGCACTTGCTCCCATACCTGAATGTGACCTGGTTGGCACCACTCAGGAAGAACAGGTCAGACTCAGGATATGGGAGACCAATGGCATTTTTTTTTTCTGGACTGGCTCTGAGAAGCAGAGGTGAGTCCTAGGGGATTCCCACCTCCATTCCATCGCATAAACACTGTGAAGCCTGAGTGTGTCACAACCTAGCCTGGTCCCTTGTCCTCAGTCACTTTAGTGTGTTCAGAGTCATGTGCGAGGAGGCAGGTGTGAGGTGAGAAAAGGTCACAGTGCCCAAGAAAATCATTGTGCCTTTTGGTCTCGCCTGGCAGCAGA